CTGGCGCTGCGTGAGAACGGCGCCCGACTCCGCCTCCCGTTGCAGTGCAGGGGAAGCCTGCGGCGACGTCAGCAAGACTATGTCGGGCGTCGTCGTCGACGTCCCCCCCACGTTCTCGAGGGCGAGGGTGAGGGGAGGAGAAAACATGAGAGTGTGGAGAGAAGATAATGTGTATACACGCACATTCCTATCTACATAGCCGGACACCAGGAAATTGGGTCCCCTACCCTATTAAGATTTCGATGACTTTGGCGGCTCCTTCTGCGCGTTCTATATAAGTTCTTGGACCTCCATGACAGGCTCGCTCGGTCAGCCCACTGCAGCTTCTACGGGCCCATGACGGTCCAAGACGGCTCCAAGGCGGCTCCAAGAACACTCCCAGAAGACCCCTGGACGAAAACTACGCAAAACGCCCCAAAAGGGTTTCAACAGCACTCACTTCCACGGACACTCCACAAACCCAAATTGATAGGTTCCCTCAGGTTATTCAAGGATTTCGGCGATCTCGCCTTTCTGGCGTCCCGACGCTCAAAAACGGCCAAAGGACACACAGATCGCCCAAAAACGGTCCACGAGGCCATCGAGAAACCCACAAGTCGGTCCAACAGAACCTCAAAGCGGCCCCAGAAGCCCCCAAGAGGCCTCGAAGAGGTCCCACGCGGCCCCCGCGAGACCATACAACTACCCCCAGGAGGCCCCAAGACGGCCGAGCAGGTCCTCAAGGAAGCTGCACGACGACCCACGAGAGCCCCCTCGGCCCCGAATATCCCCAAGACCCAAGAGAGGCACCAAGAGGGCCCAAAAGGTCTAGACGGAAGCCCAGGACGACGCCGGAGAGCCCCATCGGCCCCGGAGGCCCTCAAGAGGCCCAAGAGAAGCACCACGCGGCTCCCCAGAGAGAATCGGGGGAGCCGCGTGGGAGCTCTGGGGAGCTCTGGAGGCACCACGCGGTCTTGGGGCCTCCAGGGGGCTTCTGTAATACAAAGGCCCCGAGGCCCAAAGACCGCCCAAAAGGTCTTCACGAAAGCCCAGGACTACCCAAGAGAGCCCCGTCGGCCCTGGAGGTCCCCAAGAGGCCCCAACGAGGGCCTACGAGGCCTCCGAACACCCAGCAACAGTCCCCAAGAGACTTCGACGCAGCATCCAAGAGCCCCCGATAGTCATCCCAGGAGACCCTCACATGCATCAGATATGCTGCTGACCCACAACCCAAGCAAGCCCAAGGCAGCATCCAGTCCCCCACGACGGTCCAAGACGGCACCAAGAGCACTCACAAAACAACGCCCCAGACGTCTCAACAGGGACGTCAGACGGTCAAAAATCCCCCCAACACGCCCCAAGAAGCTTGATCAATGCTACCGCAAACCCCCCCAGAGCCACACCATGTATTTTCGTCAAAATTGTTTGAACCATTTCGCCATTCTCGCCGTCTCGTCGTCCCCACGCTCCAAGTCGGCCCAAGAGGTCCCACCGGTTGCACCAGGAGCCCACGAGCTCTTCAATCCGCCACCGTGCCTACACGGAGAGGGCGTTAAAAAACTTCGGTGGCCCCTCTGGGATTGTTCTAAAATGTTTTGTAAAACTGCCCCCCCCCTAGTTCGCACGCGCTCGCGTAGGCCGCCTAAAATCGCTCCCCAGGGCTCTTTTCGGCCTCCAGACAGTCAATATGGCCTCCGAGACGGCTCCCAAAACAACCAAGATGACAAGAAAACGAGCCAAGATGGCCCAAGATGACTCAAGAGGCTCTCAAGACGGCCTCCAGACGGCCCCAAAGGCTCCCAAGACGGTCCAAGATGGCTCCAGCGATGTTCCTTGATCAGAGAATGGATGGATTCGCTTGTGTTCGGGATTCGGTTTTCTGATATTCATGGGGCCAGGGAGGCCAGGCGGACAGCGACGACGACGACGAGGGCGACGAGGACGAGGGGGAGAAGGAAGAAGACGACGATGGGCGGAGGGCCAGCACCCTCATCCGTCCTATCGGCCCAAGCCACGAGCAAGGGGAGAAGGAAGACATGCATCGGAGTCACATTGGAGCCATATTGACAAAATCTTGTGGTCAACCAGGGTTGAAAGGGGTCAGCTTGGGGCAATCTCGAAGTCGTCTCGGACTCATGAGGTCGTTCTGGGGCCACCTCGGAGTAAAATCGGGTTCGCGCGGTAGCCTTAGTTCAGTTGGAAGACAATGGATTCGTCTCGGTGTTATCTTGGGGCCACAGGGTTGCTCTGGGGTCATATTGGGGTCAATGCTTAGCAGGGGTGGGCATCTTTGGGCGACAGGGGTAATCTCGTGATCCTTTCAAACACCCTGTTGGGTCCATCTTGAAATCATCTTGCCGTTGCTGCCTCTCTCGTTCTTGTTGCTACAGATGTTGGTGTTGCTGCTGGCGTTGATGCTGCTGGTGCTGCCTGGGCTGCCCGTGGTGCTGGTGCTGGTGCTGTGCTAAATGTCGGGCCCTCTTGGAGCCATCATGGGGCCCTCTTGTGGCCCCCATGGGCCTCCCGGGGCCCTGCTGTGGCCTTCTGAGGGCCCTAAAAACGCCACCGAGAGGGCCAATAATTCAACGCACACATTCAAGACAAACCGCCGCCTTATTGGAGAGCGTCTTGTGTTAAATTGGTGTTAAAAGTTCTGGCCCTCTTGGAGCCATCTTGGGACCCTCTTAGGGCCCTCCTGGGCCCTCTTGCGCCCCTGCGGGAGCCCTCTGAGGGCCTTGCGAGGCCTCCACGGGGGCCACGAATTCAACGCACACATTCAAGACAAACCGCCGCCTTATTGGAGAGCGTCTTGTGTTAAATTGGTGTTAAAAGTTCTGGCCCTCTTGGAGCCATATTGGGCCCCTCTTAGGGCCCTCCTGGGCCCTCTTGGGCCACTGCGGGAGCCCTCTGAGGGCCTTGCCATGCCTCCACGGGGGCCAAGAATTCAACGCACAGATTCAAGACACACCGCCCCCATATTGGAGAGCGTCTTGTGTTACATGTATGTTGCATTTCGTGCCCTCTTGGGAAACCCAAGACGACCCAAGAGAGACCCAAGAAGGCCCCAAGAGAGATTTTTGTTCAGATTCCACGCGGGGGGGTCACCATGTATCCGCTGTTTGCACAAATTCTTCCTCTTGCAAGACTCGGCTTGAGGCTCGGAGGGCCTTCAGGAGGGTTCTAACCTGAGGCATTCAAAGAGTTCGCGTGAGCTTCGAGTGCGATTGCGCTGCTCCAAGACAGCTCCAGAGCGCTCCAAGACGCTCACAATGCCTTCAAGACGGCCAAAGACACCCTGCAGACGCCTCTGGGGGGCTCCAAGGGGACCCCCTCGGGGGCTCCACGAGGCCAGAACCATAGTTTTCCTTTTGGTTTTCTGGCGGATTTTAGCGTTCTCACTTTTTCTGGACTCCAACGCTCCAAGACGGCCCAAGAGGCTGCCAGGATCGCCCCAAGACGGCCCAAGAGGCCACCGAAGAAGGCTCCAAGACGACCTAAGATGGCAACGAGACGACACATGAGGCCCACAATGCGGCCCAAGAGGCCCCCAGGACGGCCCCAAGAGGGGACCCAGGGGGCCACCGGAACTCTTGTGAAGCGGCGTGGGGGCATGCGGAGAGCCTTCGCAAGTAGACGCGGCGCCGGAGTCACCATGTATTCGAACATTGTACGAATTCGTACAAGTCTGAGACGATCGCCGAGCCACTTGGGAGCTCTTTTGGTGGCCTCTTGGGGCTACTGGGAGATACTTGGCGCCTGATAAGGGGCCTCTTGGGCGCCTCTTGAAGAATGTTGAGATTCTTGGGGGCTTCTTAGGGCGTCTTGGGGGGCCCTTTGAGGGCCTCTCGGGGGCCTACTTGGGCCCCAAGAGGGCCCCGAGAAGATTCCAAAAGGGTCGCAAAAAGTGTCCGGGTCCGCCGGAGATGCTGCAGCACCATTTCTGGGTGGCCTGGAGGCCTCTCGGAGCTTCCTTGGATCTCTGTTGGGGGGCTCCAGAACGGCTTGGGAGTGCTCAGGGAGCGCCAAGAGGGCCCCGAGGAAACTCCAAGAGGGTTCCGAACAGTCTCCGTGCCACCCGGAGATGCTGCAGCACCATCTCTGGGTGACCTGGAGACCTCTTGGGGCCCTCGTGGAGCTTTCTCGGGGGGCTCCAAGACGGTGGTGGGGAGGGCGGGAGGGCAGGGGGGATCTCCTGGAGATGCGGACGCGGACGAGGGGGCGGCTTCTAGAGGCCTTACGGGGGCCTCTCGGGCGCCTTCTGAGGTCAGTTGGGGTTTCTTCGGGGCCTCTCAGGGCCCTGGGGGTCCTGTGGAACCCTTGAGGCGTCTTGGAAGCTTCTCGGGGTTGTCTTAGTACCCTCTCGGGGGTCGAGAAGCGATGTTGTTGTTGCTGCTGCTGTTGTTGCTGCTGCTGTTGTTGTAGCTGTTGCATATGTAGTGGTAGTTGTAATTGTAGCTGTAGTTGGTGCTGCTGTTGTCGTTGTTGTTGTCGATTTGCTGCACTTGTTGTGGGCGCTGTTGTTGCTTTCGCTGCTGCTGCAGCTGCTGGTGTTGTTGATGTTGTGTTTGGTGATGTTATGGTTGTTGTTGTTGTTGATGTTGTGGTTGTTGCTGTTATGTACTGGTGATGTTTATTGGTGTTGTTGGTGTTGTTATTGCTGTTGGTGTTGCTGCTGCTGTCGTCGTTGCTGTCGTGTGCTGCGGTTCGCTGTCGTGCTATACGCCATTATTTCAAGTGTAGACGCGCAGCGCACGCCATCAAACAAAACAAACAGACTGCACCACATAGATTGCACCAGACCGATTGTACCACGTAGGTTGCGCACCACATCATCTTTTGCACCACATAGGTTGCACCACGCAGCTCGCGGGCCCTTCTTACGAGTAGTGTGCATACATACCACAAAACGTATTGCACCATTAAGGTTGCATCAGCGCGTGTTTGGAGGGCGCGAATGGCCTGATCCCTGGTTTCTGATCCCCGGAATGGAGCGCGATCCCTGTCAGAACGGGCGCTTCCAACTCAAATGATCGCATGTCTGGGCGGCTAGACAAGCCTGATCCCTGGCTTCTGATCCC